TTTACTAATCTACCCTTATCCCGATTGCGTATTTCATGACTGAAAAGAGCATTCATTAGCGAAGGAGTCCCACATAGCGTAGCTGAGAATTATGCGACTGATATAGCCATCAAGACAATGAGTCGAAATGCTGCTTCCGGAAAAGCACGTTGGGTTCAGGAAGCAATCGCAAAATTTGTAAACATCGACACCACACCCAGTACTTCCAATGTATTTCACGTTGGCGGTAACAATAATGATAATAATAGTAGAAATAGTTACCGCGGAAGAAGGGGTAACAATAATTTCGGATATAATCGTAGTAATCATTGGCATAGAGGTAACGGTAGCAGTCGTGGAAATTGGCGTGGAAATCCAAGACGCCAATATCAAAATTTTGCCCCGACAAGGTCATCGAATTCACAAAGTTACCCAAGATATTATTCTCAGGCACGATATGTGAGGTCCTACGAATCAGAGCCAGCTCCGGAAAACCAATCGGACCCCCAACGGGTGCGATTGGGGGAAATGTGAAAAATATATTTACTTTTAATTTATCACTATCCAATTTTGTTTTTTTTTTAGAATGAAATGACAGGGACTGAAAATACTTATTTAGTTGACACTGGTGCTGACATATCCATTTTCAGAAGGACCAAAATCAATCCAGATCAGATGGTAGACATTTCAAAACGCTATAGAATTAAGGGCATCACTGATGGTCTAACCGATTGTCTGGGATCCACAGAAACAAATATTTTTATTCACGGGTATTCTTTGAAACATACTTTTCATATTGTGGATGAAAATTTTCCTGTTCCAGCCGACGGAATTCTTGGTCGAGATTCCATCTCAAGATATGCATGTATATTGGATTATAACGATTGGAGTCTGACAGTACGCTTAGGTCATGGAAAAACTACTGTTCCGATTCATAACAGTCCAGAAGACGATACTATTGTAATACCATCTCGTTGTGAAGTTATACGGAAAATAAAATTAATAGACATTTCGGAAGATACATTAATAATGGATCAGGAAATAAAGTCTGGAATTTTTGTCGCAAGATGTATAGTTTCCAGTGAAAATCAATTAGTAAAAATAATCAATACAACAGCAGATTAGTAGACAAGTGAATAAAATGTTAGAAAATGGGGTGATAGAACCCTCAACATCAAACTATAATAGTCGGGTGTTGCTAATACCTAAAAAGGCTACCGATGGTCAAAAGAAATGGCGTTTGGTTATCGATTTTTGACAGCTCAACAAAAAACTAATCGCAGATAAGTTTCCTTTGCCAAGAATTGACGATATCTTAAATCAACTCGGTAGCACGAAATGGTTTTCGGTTCTTGACTTAATTTCTGGTTTTCATCAAATCCCACTAGATAATGAATCAAGAGATCTCACCTCCTTCAGTGTAGACTCAGGTTCTTATCGATTCACCAGACTACCTTTCGGGCTTTCGGTCAGCCCAAATAGCTTCATGCGAATGATGTCGATAGCTTTCGCAGGGATAACACCAGAAAAAGCATTTTTGTACATGGACGACCTAATTGTTTTGGGTTGTTCAGAAAAACATTATCTCAATAATCTCAAGAGTGTATTTGAAACTTGCCGGAAGTTCAATTTGAAATTGAATCCTGAAAAATGCTAGTTCTTTAAAAAGGAAGTAACTTATCTAGGTCACAAAATCACAGATAAGGGGATTTCTCCCGACGATTCAAAATTCGACGCTATTTACAAGTACCCGGTGCCTCATGATGCTGATGCTGTTAAAAGATTTGTTGCCTTTTGTAATTACTATCGAAGGTTTATTCCAAATTTTGCAGCGAGAACATATTCTTTGAATAAATTGACAAGAAAGAACGCTGAATTTGTCTGGTCGCCCGAATGTCAAAAGTCATTCGATAAACTGAAAAACGCATTATTAAGTCCCGAAATTTTACAATATCCAGATTTTTCAAAAACTTTTATTGTTCATACAGATGCTTCTAATATAGGATGTGGTGCGTTATTGAGTCAAAATTTTGATGGCCAAGAGTTACCTATTTCGTATGCATCTCGATCATTCACTAAAGGCGAATCAAACAAATCAACAATTGAAAAAGAACTGACCGCTATTCATTGGGCCATCAAGCATTTCAGACCTAACTTATACGTTCAAAAGTTTATAGTCAAATCAGATCATAGGCCGCTTGTTTATTTATTCTCGATGAAAGATCCATCTTCTAAATTGACAAGAATGCGTTCAGACTTAGAAGAAGCCGATTTTGAAATAGAATATATAAAAGGGAAAGATAATTCTGGAGCCGATGCATTATCCAGAATTAATATCAAGGAACTGATTGATATTCAGGAAAATGTGTCACAAATACTTGCCATCACAAGGTCAAAAACAAACCTGCAAGAAAAAAAAAAAGTTCAACCCAACTAATACAAAAAGAAATAAAGGAACCAAAAGTATATGAGACATTAGATAATATTGGAAACTTGAAAGTACCTACATTGAAATTCAAAATTGACCGGTCATCAGTAAAGATAATAATTTGTGAAAATAGATAAATGAGCGCTCATAATCAGATAATCCCTATCGTTAATGGTGAAATAGCTTCAGAGCAATTATTGCCTCGTCTAGAATCAATGGCGAACGATTGCGGTATCTCGAAATTAAAAATATATGTAGATGATGAATTATTCAAGAAGTGCAATGTTAATCAATTCAAAGAGAAAGGTCAAACAATTCTGAAAAATTTAATCGTTATCCTTTGCAGGGTACCCAAAATAATAACGAATAATAATGAAAAACAAGATCTCATTAAAAAATACCATGATGATCCTCTCACAGGAGGTCATTGTGGTCAGAAAAGACTTTTGAAAAAACTGAAGTCGACATATAAATGGAAAAATATGTCTCGTGATGTCTCAAATTCCATACGAACATGTAAAAAATGTCAAATCAATAAAAGTAAAGTGAAACACTTAGAACCAATGGTCATAACACCTACGCCCCAAACGGCATTCGACATAGTTTGTATCGACACGATTGGTCCATTTCCCGAAACAAACAATGATAATGTATATGCAGTAACTATACAATGTGAATTAACAAAATATGTAGTCATCTTACCCATTCCAAATAAAGAAGCTAAGACGGTGGCTAAAACTATTGTCGAAAACTTCATCCTAGTCTATGGTCCGGTAAGAGGAATCAGAACGGATATGGGTACCGAATATAGAAATCAAATTTTAGAAAACATCCTGAAGCTGTTAAATATTGATCATAAGATTACTACTGCATATTATAGTCAAAGTATTGAGGGGTGTGAACGCAATCATAGAGTCTTAAATGAATATATTCGCATGTACGTAAATGATAATCATAGTGATTGGAAAGACTGGATGAGGTATTATGCTTTCTGTTATAATACAACACCCAGTACATATCACAACTATACGCCGTTTGAATTAGCTTTCGCGAAAAAGGCCACTCTTTCTGAAAAAGTGTCCGGTTCGTGTGTTGATCCACTTTACAATATAGATGCATATGACCAAGAAGTTCGTTTCAGATTGCAATCAGCACAAAAGCGCGTTAAAGAATTCTTGGAAAAAGCATAACAATCGCGTAAGTGTGCGTATGATAAAAATGCAACATCATCATTTAATTTCCAACCAGGTGATCTCGTAATGATAACGAACGAAGATCGTAAGAAATTTGACTCATGGTATGATGGTCCTTTCACAGTTATAGCTGACGACGGTCCAAATTGCACAATAGCTAATAATAAAGGCAAAGCCACGATAGTGCACAAAAACCGTATCCAGAAATTCGTTTCATGATATTATATTAAATAATTACGTAGGTACCTATAGGAATTTCACAATTGGCCAATTGATGACTAGAATAATGAAACAATATGTATAATTTCAATTTTATAAACACAAGACTATATCATAACCCAGGTAGCACATGACGACTATATGACGTCTAATTGACGGCATCACATTCGGCAAAAAGACGTCTTTATTTTAACAAATGCGACGTCCAAATGACGTAAGTAAGACACATCCAAATGACGTCATATTTGAAAGTCTTTTAGACGTCAGTATGTGTTTTCAAATTGGACCTCAAACTGACACTACTGATCAATTTCCGACGTCAATAAGACGTCTGTTTTTTTTTCATAAAATTTTGGGGTTAATGGTTATAATCTGGTGAGGAATGTAATCATTTGTGCTATAAAATAAATTTGCTACGAATGCAGGTTTCATTAACAAGATAGTAATGTAAGGTATTACATATAGTTGAAAATTTCAGCGTCGATGGCTGCCCCTTCACAGAGAGCTCTTTGGTATGCTTTGCTGTCTCTAAATGGCGGCCAAAACACATCCTTTTTCAACGGCGTCAGCCAAGTTTCGTGAACAACAGCTACACTGTTGCTTCCACTGTCATCAAATTGTATTACACAATACATCCTGAATACTTTCACGTGAAAAACAGACTGTATAGAAATACCACTCAAACACTCAACATTTTAACATTCTTAACAAATCCAATGGCACAGACGCCGTTCACAAACAACACCCATTCATGAACGGGAACGCACCATGCACGATGCAATCTTGACGCTGAACCACAGACCGGACCGCTGAACGGCACTAACGCCACTAACGGCAGTCGCGAGATGGTCGCGAGTCGCATACACAATCTCTTCGCGTAATTACTTGATCGCCATTGGCCATCTGGTCGGTAATGTGAGAATTGTCTTTGGCGCTAAATTTAAACATTGAAGATAAAGGGAAGCCTATGGAATAAAATACATTTTTATTACACATTTATACAGTTATTTAGATAGATTAATTGATTTATTTCATAACTTCGTCTTGCTATACATACATAATAATAATAATAATAATAATAATAATAATAATAATAATAATAATGCTCCGGGAGATATTGAGTCCGTTGTGGAGAATGAGAGGTGCCGAATTTATTGGAACTTCTCATTCCCCACCCTCAGGCAGATACAAGCTAACAAGCCTGATGTAGTCCTCCTCGACCATCAAACCAAAGCGATGTTCGTGATCGAGTTTTCGGCGCCAGCCGAAACGAACATTGTTTTGAAGGAGGAGGAAAAACGGACTAAATATCGAGATCTTCTCTTCGAACTCCGCCGGCTCTATCCAGACCATTCTGTGGGATTGGTCATCCTGATTATCGGCTCCCTAGGAGGCACACGACACACGCTGCTCTTGGAGATCCAGAAAATCCCAGCGTGCCGTGATAAGGCACACATCCTGGCTGGTGGAATGCAGAAGGCCGTCATACTAGGATCATTTCGTCTACTCAGGGCACACGGTACTTGGTCCCAGTGATTACTCACCTCACAGGCTGTGAGGAGTAGTCACTGGATTTTGTCCAGCACGACTCTGCGTGACGTCGGAGGCCGCAGGGTCGTGACTGGAATCATATAAACTCAAAAAATAATAATAATGATGATAATGATAATATAATAATGATGATACTAATAATAATAATAATAATAATTATGATAATAATAATTATAGTAATAATAATAATGATAATGATAATGATAATAATACCCAGAAAAATATGAAGACTATAGATTGACGTCTATACGACGTCGAACAGTGGCTGTCTAAAAATATGAAGACTATAGATTGACGTCTATACGACGTCAAACAGTGGCTGTCCATAGGACGTCACATTAATGACGTCCGCATGACGTCATAATTTATTCAAAAGACGTATGAGACCAAAAACGACCTTAGATAGCGGTCCTATATACGTCACATTCGTCAGTCTGGCTACCTGGGAATATATAAGCTGTTATATTTCATTTTTGTGTATCAGCGATTTCAATTTATGTATTTACTTTTGTCATAGATTAAAACTTTTGTGTAGGCAAATATCTAGGTTAATGGAATGAAAACATTATATACAACAAATTAGGGACTTTTGTATTGTAATGAAATATTAACATATTAGGGAATGTTTTATGTACTTGAGCCCCCGAATTTTTATCAAAATGCTCTTCATTTATGCGCAGAATGAAGATCATTCTCTAAGAAAGGGAGGTGTACTGCAATCAGGTCAATAATGAATATTGTAAAAACATATTCAACCGACTCAGCATATTCATTACTGAACAGGTATAGAAGGTTTTTATGTAGGACAGATTGCGTATAGCTACTGTGGTGTATGGCAAACTAACTAAATGCTATTATATTGGGTGTAGAAAATGTGACGAGTTTTACTAATCTACCCTTATCCCGATTGCTACATTTCATAGGTTTCTATTTGATTCACCTAGTAATTTAGTAATTTGAATCATTTTGCTAGTGAGCTATCTACTTTGAAATCGAAATGAAAATGGATTGCCAGTTTTTTAATCGAAAGTTATTCAAATCAATAAGCGCATGAATTGGAATAATGGTAAAAACTCAACTTATGTCATGTTAAAAAACCAACGTGCCTTCTCGTTGAATGATTTTAATTAAAAAAAATTACCTATCTGATAAATATATAATCGAAATCATTACCATGTTATTTCATACTCACATATTGATTATTTTTGTCATTCCAGGTCCAATCCGTAAGATTCAATAGGATATTCATCTGATAACTCATTATTGGCAGCTTGAATAAACTAATGAACCGTCCGAGAATTGGTACTTTTATGTACTTTGAGCAATATTTTGACACATGGGCCCATGTGATTACTTTTTGTTCAATATGAAATATTATCAGAACTTTATTCGATTTATTTATTTATCTTTGGTGTAACCGGTTACACAATGAATTGGCGTTTATTCAATTTGTTAAAAAAAAATCGATTCCCCTATTTACGTTGTTTCGATAAATTCAAGTAGTTACCTTGTTTGAGATAATAAAATTGAGAGATATTTTGTGATATTTCATACCAATTAAACAATAATGAACTGATTGAAAAAACTCCTGTTAAATACCGCATGCTCATTCCTCCAATTTTGTTAGAACTAGACCGTACATTTCTTTGTCTAACAACTCGCAAATATTTTCCATTTTAATATCAACCAACCAGCTACTTCTCTGGATGTGGTTTGGCTAGGAAACGGTTAACACTTGTAACCAAGTAACAATCTCTTTATTGAGAGTTCATATATATAGGGTAGTCCAAAAAAAACCGGAATTTTGTTTATGTCTGATAACTTTTTCATTTATTGGCCGATTTGATTGATTTTGGTCTTGTTCGAGAGAGAATTGATCAAGGCAGTCCGTTGATAGCAAATTTTTCATATTTGTTCAAAAAACAAAATGGCGGAGTCACCTAAATTTGGTAGAATTTGAAAACTTGCTGGAACTTTTTTAAGTCGCACTGTATATCGTTTCGTGTAAGAATCTGGAAGTTTGGACATTTCTGAATAGAACAAGATGTCGAACATGATAATCCGTCGAAAAATACCTGATATATGACAGGATATAGACATGTATGTTTTGGAACTTTTATGCTCATTTTCATTCGTTATTTCCAAGATCCACCTCATTTATGATTTTCAAAGTCTTCAAAATCATGATAATTTTGAGTCAAGTGGTACAAAAAGCATAAATTACGATTCCTTCACGGAATTCAACTCAATACAATCATTCTCAAACAAAAGGAAAAACGATATTGAACAAAAAACAAGAGTAAGCGAGAAAATTATGTTCTAATGTGGTCCCCATCAGCTTCAACCACTAATTCCACACGTCGTCGCCAACTGTCAATTGATTTCCTAATATTAACTTGGCTGGTTTCCTCCCAACACTGAAGAATTCTCTCTTGTAGTTGTTCAACATTTTCAAATATTGTTCCATTTTTGTGAACTCTAGCCTCCAAATCACCCCACAGAAAATAGTCACACGGATTCAAATCTGGACTATTTGGAGGCCATTCTTGTGGTTCTAAAAAATTGGCAACGTTCTTTCTTAAGTAATTAATGGTGTGTGCACTGGTGTGACATCTCGCGCCATCCTAAAATCAAATTTTTAATGGAAATAGTCAAAAAATAATAAATGATATAAGAAAAACTCGAGGAAAATGAATGAAAATAAAGTCAGGAGTTGAATCCTCTATTTCTGGAAGCATTTGTGCTAAAACAGTGTCACAATAACTCTGTGAATTTAGCCTGACCCCTTGCCTAATGCCAAATTTGCTTTATGTTCTCTAGAAATTCCTGCAGAAACCATGACGTATACTTAGTGAATTTATCTCTTTCACTCAGAAGACGTTCCAACGGCGTTTCCCGTTTTCGTTGGTGGTGAGGTAAACAAAATCTATCATTTTGCGAGTTTTTCAAGGGGTTGATTGTAAATATTTTTTCGTCGGTGAACCGAATTTTTCAAATATCTCTCCTAGATCTGAATTTATTCAAAAGATTTTTACATCTCAACAATCTTCTGGCTTTGATTTCAGGAGTGAGTTTGAATGAATACATTCGCTCAAAAAAATTAAGCCCCAAATCAATCTTTATTATCCTGTTCACAGAGCTACGCGAAATTCCAGATCTTCTGGAAATTTGCGGAAGGCTAAAGCTGGTCCTAGGCGCCCTTTCGGGACTCACAGCCAAATTCAAGACTTGGGCAATATTTTCCTGAAATGAGTTTTGGTAGATCATAAGACATACAATGATAGCACCTAGCTTACCAACCTGTGTTCTGACACTCCTTGGCCGCCCACTTCCTTCGCGTCTTGCAATGGAGTGTGTTAAGTTAAATTTCTTTACGAAATCTTAAATTGTACTTTTTTTATACCGCTCGACAGCAAGATGTTGTAAAATATCACTCACTCTGTATCCTCTCAAAATTAAAGTTTTGATAAAAATTTTATCGTCATTGGAAAGCGCCATTATATACACTTTAGAAAGCAAAAATGAAGTGATTTCTATCTCAAAAAGTCAATTCAAGAGCTGTCAATAATTACAAATAACAAGAATCAACAACACAAGAAGCGATGATTGACATACGCCCGCCTCGATTTCAATGAAAAATTGGTAACAAAATGTGAAAACATACATGTCTATATCCTGTCATATATCAGGTATTTTTCGACGGATTATCATGTTCGACATCTTGTTCTATTCAGAAATGTCCAAAATTCCAGATTCTCACACGAAACGATATACAGTGCGACTTAAAAAAGTTCCAGCAAGTTTTCAAATTGTACCAAGTTTAGGTGACTCTGCCATTTTGTTTTTTGAACAAATATGAAAAATTTGCTATCAACGGACTGCCTTGATCAATTCTCTTTCGAACAAGACCAAAATCAATAAAATTGGCCAATAAATGAGAAAGTTGTCAGACAAAAACAAAATTCCGGTTTTTCTTGGATAACCCTATATATTATTATTCCTGAGCTCAATTCATTCATTACATATCATATTTCCATAACATAATAATATCATATTTGCGTATACTTCATTTTGGGTGGAGTGATGAAAAATGGTAGAAGATACCAACGTTCAAGAGTATTTTCAATATTTGAAAGGTTATATATATACTGACTAAGATATTTTGAATCGCAACATTCTCAACTATGACCTGAATTGTAAATTATCTGCTTTCGCACCCGTATCGAAATTCATTATGATTAAGAGGGCATATTCCACAGCGCCTCCGCCAATGAAAGAGGTACCGCTCCCAAGTTCCCCTATGGTTATGGATCATCCTAGAGGCTCAATTTTTTTTCCTGGCTTGTCAAAGGTGCAATCGATGCATCTTATCGAATGAATTTTCATTTTTTTACATAGACCAATTTATAATCACCTGTAAAGTAGTGCGTTTTTGACCGATTTTGTGAATTTTTTTCTACGTTGTGGAATCAAAAATTGAAATCTTATTTGGTTTTCGCATGGGAAATTGGGAGCGGAGGCACCGTGGAGAAGAATTTCCCCTGTAGGCGCGGCACTTAACAAAATTAAGCTCCTCCCATAAAATTCAAATGCCTTATTGATAGTCGATGGTCCTATGATGAAGTATGGTATTTATTATTGTCACGAATTAGTCTGCGATCCAATTTGTCTTTTCATAATACGAACCTATTTATATTTCGTTCAATAAACCTACCAGCCTTATACCTGATATATAATAAATGAAGGTATCATGGAATCAACAAAGCAACTGTGTTATACCTACTCAGTTAATAGATTATTTCTAATTTTTCGAACACAGGGAAGTGCTGGAATGTTTCAAGATATATTTTTAATATATAGTCCAACAAATAGATAGATATAAGAAACATGATAAAATGATCAAATGGATCAGGG